TACTGGGGAGGCTGAGGCAGGAGAATTGCTTGAACCCAGGAGGAGGTTGCAATGAGCTGAGATGGTGCCATTGTACTCTAGCCTGGGCAACAAAAGTGAAACTCGGTCTCAAAAAAAAAAAAAAATTATCATATTCTGTGGCTTTATATGCACCTTCACTTTCAACACTCCACTGCACCCGTGCTCTGTATACAATCGAATGGGAGGAATTAAGAAGGCGAGTTTTCTATAGCTTCCAAAGTCAGAAAGAATGACAAATAGAAACAGTCTTTCAGGGATGCCCTGAACAAATTATAAACAAAACCCATTAAACTGTGTCTACCTATTAAATTACCTAAAATAGAAAATCAATTGCCAAGCTTCTGATAAAATTCCAGATTTATGAAGCACAGCAATCGTCCCTGAAAGAGTTTTTTTATTCCCCCCCTTCTCTCAGCTTATCCTGCTTCTGCAGATAGCTCTACTATTTAATACCCTCTTGGCACTTGGTCTATTTTCCTCCCTTGATTGCCTCTGAATGTACTGTAATCCTCTTTTCTGGTTACTGTCCCTTTTACTACAGGTAAATCAACTGTATCCAGTAGTGGAACAGATGCAGCATGAAAGAAGAAAGTTACAATTGCTTTATCTGATGCTGTCACTCATGCCTGGTGTTGAGAGGCGCACATTTTTAAAAGTCTAAGGGCTCTGGCTCCAACATATCTAGGAAACAGATGGGAAACAAATGAAGCATTGATGGATTCGCAAATTCCAGTTCTTTGATATTTGTCTGCCCAGGAGTGGGTGGGACAGAGAAACAAACGTAAGGGAATAATGAGGATACGGGTGGGGAAAGGCTTGTAATTTTTCCCATTCTTCTTTGGGTATGGACTGAAGAAAGGATGTAGGGAGGAGGCGTTTATCTTTTGCTTGTACTCTGACCTTTTCCTAAGTTGCTGCATTCCTTGGGATACAAAACTATAATCAAGAGTCTCTAATGGACAACTGCAATTATGCATTGAGTCATTCAACAAATATACATTAATACTGACTAAATTAGGCTTGAATGGAACTTCAGGGCAAAAGAACAGAGAAAATAAAATACCATTAGAGAAGGGATCTGTGCTCTTTCCTGGACTTAAATCTCCCAGAGTCATCACGTTTGACAGTAAAACTAGTCAAGCAAATTAGCACAGGCCCAGAGGATGAAATTAAGGAGGGGGCAGGTAAGTTTCACATAATAAACAGACACTCTCCCTAGGCCCCAGACCTAGGAGCAATACTTCAGGAAGAATTTTTTAATTAATCTCATGTATTCATTCATGTATTCACCAAGTAGTTATTGAACACCTCCGTGTGCCAGGCTCCTTCATAGGCTCTGGGAACACAGAGACAAATGGGGTGCAGCTTCTGCCTTTGAGGACCCCCTGATAATGGAGAAGCATGCCTGTTGTACTGCCCCTGCACTTCTTTCTTTCTTTTTTTTTTTTTTTCTTTTTCAGTTTTACTTTATGTTCTGGGATACATGCCCAGAACTTGCAAGTTTGTTACATAGGTATATGTGTGCCATGGTGGTTTGCTGCACCTTTTAACCTGTCATCTAGGTTCCCTCCCCTTGCCTCCCACCCCCCAACAGGCCCCAGTGTGTTTTTGTTCTTCTCCCTGTGTCCATGTGTTCTCATTGTTCAAACCCCACTTATGAGTGAGAACATGTGGTGTTTAGTTTTCTGTTCCTGTGTTAGTTTGCTGAGGATGATGGCTTTCAGCTCCATCCATGTCCCTGCAAAGGACATGATCTTGTCCCTTTTTATGGCTGCATAGTATGCCCCCTGCACTTCTAATAAAGATGGCGCTGGGAAGCAGAGCCCAGCTCACCTCATTCCAGAATGCCCCGACTTCTGCCAAAGAGGAGGTTTCCTCCGTTCACCTGTCCATTTGGAACACAATGAAAATACAGAATATACGAATATGAATATACATCTATTTAAGAAAAATTCACATAGCCCCAAACTACTCTAGCTTTCCTAGGAAGTAGAGAAGACCCCCTCAAAAAAAAAAGATCGGCAAACTGAGCCTGCTATTGGGGAAGGAAATTCAGGACCAGGAAGGTGAGGAAATCTATTCATTAAGTGGCTCTAACAACTCAAATCCAGATGCAGAGAAACCTGACATACACGCACCAAGATAAGCATCTCTAAGGTACAGTCAGCGGTCAATTTTTCAACATTTATTTAATATCTTGCTATATTTATGACATGGTGAAATAGATGCTGTATTCCTTCTCTGAGAATTTTCAATTGAGGTGGGAACATGAATAAATGTATTAACCCATTTATGCCAGAGGTTGCAATTTTTGTTTTGTGAACAATCAGACCTTGGTGATGACCTTGAGCAGTAGGATATAAATAACTCCCACAAGCTTAGCATTTTAATAATGGAACACTAGGCATAAATAGGTTAAAACGGCATCGAAAAGCCATGTAAACTATACACCAGCCATGTAGAAATAGTGCATATGGAGACACAGGGGTCCTGGGAAGGGCAAACTGCAGTGCAGAGTTTACCAGGGAAGAGTTCCTAGGAGAAATGAGCTTGGAACTGGATGTTAGAAGATCATCACCCTGTGTAGGGGGGCAAGTCTGCAGTCAAACTTCCCTGGGGCTTTTTTTACTCATCAAAAAATGAGTACAAGGCACACAGATTACATGAATTTTGTAAGGATGAAATGTGACAACATTGCTATGGCATCCATGCACATAGGAAGCACTAATGAATATCACATTCCCTACCCTGTTCCATTTTATGCCTTCCACACTTGATATTATTTAATGATAGAAATGCTGATGAAAATAAGGGATAGTACACCTCTCACACTTTCTATATTGAGCGTGAATTACTCTTAACATAGAAAAAATAAAGCAAAAGATTAAAATAGTGTTTTATTTGTAGAGTTTTGGTCTGAAAGAAGTAACAGGTTCTCAGTAGTCACTTCACAGCAGAAAATCAAATGAGGGCTTCCCAGCCACACAGAAAATGTTATTTTAATCTGATGTTCAGCACCCTTCAGTTGCTAGTTAGACCCACTTAGACTGAAATAGATGCCAGAAATGCAATGCTATGTTCACCACCCAATCGCTTTCCAAACGCGTGGTAAGGATTCAGGTCACTGTCCCTCATCGGCAAAAGAGCTTGAGCATCACTGTCATTGCTTCATGCAGTCACAGCCCCGCTGGGAGGGACAGCCGTGACCCAGGCAGGTCTTACTGGTATCAGTGGTCAGAGACCAGGGACAGAGGATGCACTGCCTGGAGTTGTCTTCTCCCAAGGAGTGTGCATGGCTGCCTTGCAAGCACGGGCTTGCCCCATCCGAAAGCACCATCTTTGCTCAGGCTCAGAGAAGAAAAATTTGCCAGCTGCGAGTGGAAAATGTTCGAACCTTGAAATCTTTCTGCAGCCCATACTGGGTCACATTTGCCATGTCCAGTACAATTCTTGGCTAAGAAATGCTTGTAATTCAGAGATAAACCTACCACTGCAGGTTATATCATGGCGAGGAAAAATTTGCTTTCCAGAGAAATATCACTTATCCCGGACTTTTTAATTCTTCTGAGAAAATAGGGGTTTAAGAAATGGTGGCTCAGCTGTGAGTTCCATCTCCGGTTACTAAGGCTTATGTTTTGTTACGGGCTCAGTTTTCCTCCCTAAACATGACATTGAAGTCCTAACCCCCAGTACTTCAGAATGATTACATTCTGGTCATATCTCTTCAGAAACAGGGTCCTTTTAGAGGTAATCCATCTAAAATGAGGTGATTAGGGTGGACCTTAATCTAAGATGACCAGTGTCCTTTTAAAGAGGGGAATTTTGGACACAGAGGCAGACATGCACAGCAGGAAGACAACATGAAGAAGCACAGGAAGAAGACAGCCATCCACGAGCGAAGGAATGCTTTGGCCAGCGGTCCCCAACCTTTTTGGCACCAGGGACTAGTTTCATGGAAGACCATTTTTCCACGACTGTGGGTGGGGGTGGGGGAGTGAATAGTTTCAGCATGATTCAAGCGCACCACATTTATCGTGCACTTTATTTCTATTATTATTACATTGTAATATGTAATGAAATAATTATACAATTCACCATAATGTAGAATCAGTGGGAGCCCTGAGCTTGTTTTCTTGCAACTAGACAGTCCCATCTGGGGGTGATGGGAAACAGTGACAGATCATCAGGCCTTAGATTCTCATAAGGATCATGCAACCTACATCCCTGGAATGCACAGTTCACAGTAAAGTTGACACTCCTAAGAGAATTGAATGCTGCCTGTCACTAATCTGACAGGAGGCAGAGCGGTGATGCGAGCGATGGAGAGTGGCTGTAAATACAGATGAAGCTTTGCTTGCTCGCCCACTGCTGTATGGCCTGGTACTGGTCTGTGGCCCAGGGGTTGGATACCCCTGCCTTAAGCTACCAGAAGCCAGGAGTAAGACCTAAAAAAGATGCTTCCCCAGTGCCTTCAGAGGAAGAATGGCCTTGCAAACACCTTGATTTCAGACTCCTGGCTTCTGTTACTGTGAGACAATACATTTCTGTTGTTCTAAGCCATCCAGTTCATGGTACTTTGTTACGGCATCCCTAGGAAATGAATATGTGGCCAGTAGAGAGAGCATTTTCCCACTAAAAGATAAAGACATCCAAGTGCCACCAAAACAATTACAGGGTTGCAAGAATCCTGAACAAGAGAAACAAACCAAAGAAATCGCTCATTGGAAATAGGTGTGACCAGATTTGATGCTCTTCCCCTAAATGTGGGCGGGGGCATTTTGTTCTGTCCTCACCTTCACGTACATTCTGTTTTCTGTTTTAACAAATAAATCTCAATTGCATAGGGTACTCAGTTCCATGATGTTTTTGTTTTTCAGCGACTCAGCTCACCCTCTTCTCCTCAGAGAGGCAGACCTAAAGTTCCTGAGACCAGGGCACCCTGTCAGAGACTTGTGGAAGAAGGACCAGGTTCTCTGGGCTTCTCTGCTTTCTGCTGGATTTTGCTGTTTTCTCTAGGGCTCTGTTTAATGGTGCTGTGCGGGAGAGTGATTTCTGCACTATCTTTCTGGAATTGGGAGGGGCACAGAAGCAGGAAAAGTGAATTCCAGGAAAGTTGTTGCATGTTAGAAGCTGTGTTGTGGTGAAGTGACAAGTTGCTTGCTCTCTGAACGGGGATGGGATCCTTTGTGGAGGCATGAATCACCAACAGGTAGGATTAGATGGATGATGGTTGTATTTGGAATTCTAGCCACACCCTTCGGACTGCAGCCCTGTGAAGCCTGAGGGTCTGACGAAAGTCAAGAAAAATCTGCATTGCAACTCTTCAAAGAGAAGAACGTGGCATCTTGGTAAGTACAGTCAATAGCTCTGTCATTTTTTAAAAAGTATGTTCTTAAAATGATTTTTAATAATAAGAGTAACATTGAACCACACTAGAGAAAATAGGACAACAAAAACAAAATCATTCATAATTCTAGAACCCTAATACAACTTCTTGAATATAAAAAAAATCATTAAATTGAATATCTTCATACAGTTGAATTTTATGCATTTAAATAGAAATTATAAAGAATTTTCCATTTAGTTGTGATGAATTTCTGATAACACAATACATATTTATAATCTTCAAGCTGTACAACTTAAATACACAAAAATTTTAACTGTCAACTATAAAGCTGGGGGGGGACTCTTTATGTAAATATTTAGTAAAAATGTTTTCTTAAAGAATCAGAATATTAGATTCTGTGTATTGTGTGCCCTGGGAAAGTATGCTTAGAAGGAAATATACCAAAATACAGTGGGTGAATTTTACTTTCTTCTTGATAGTGTTTTAAAACTTTTAGAAATGTTTTGCAATGTCTTAAAAGTGACCTTCTGCCTGGAATTTGGTTAATGTTCAGTTTTATTTCCTCTTATTTTTCTGAGTATTTACTTTTTTAGTTCAGCTGAAACTTTTCAAGAATGCCATGACCTCTCTCCTTTTCTTAAAAAAAGTTTTAAACTGACAATGTTAAAACTAGAAGAGATTTTGGAAATCAACTACTTTAACCTAGTATGATATGGAAACTGTAAACTAAAACTGTTCACATCCACTCCTCAAGATGACATCAAGAGTGGCAGGGCTGGGACACCAGAGTTTCCGGAATGGCTCCCCCGGGGCTTCAGCTGCAACACACTCGCTGTGCCAATGTGCATGTAGTTCCTCATTCTAATCAAATAAGCATTATAACCGAGTTCACCTGAAATAGAGTATACTGCACAGAAACTTAATAATGGGTGAGAAAGGCATATTTATGACATTAGCAATTATTATCATACTCAGTCAAATCCATTTTTATTTTCTGTTTTCTCATTTTGTGAGTCCTCTGGGATCTACACACAGGTACCAATTTTTTGCCTATCCCTGGCACCATGCACTGCTTAATCATCCTCCCCACACTGACTCTGTTGACCATGCTCAATTGTCAATAGCAATACTTCTCCAGGGGTGGCTCAGATACCCACGGGGGTCCCTGAGATCCTTTAAGGGGTCTGAGAGATCAAAACAATTTTCATAACACTAAGATATTGTGTGCCTTTTTTATTCTCATTCTCTCATCAATTTATAGTGTCGTTTTCCAGAGGCAGCTGCATAAATCACAGGGGACTGAATACACGAGAAGATGTAAGAATCCAGTCAGCTTCTATCAAACCAGACATAAAAGATATTTGCAGATATGTAAAACAATGCCACTCTTCGCACTGCATTTTTAAAAAACATTATTTCCCAGAAAATATATCATCTATGTTAATATGGAATGGGGTTTGTTATTCTCATTTTAAGTAAGGTATTATATAAATATTTTTAATGTCTCAGTTTTAATTTCTAATGAAGTCAATATCAATAGATGTTATCTATACAAACCAAAGCTCTCTGGGGTCTTCCAGAATGTAAAGGAGTCCTGAGATCAAAAGGGATGAAAACCTGTGCCCTACCCTAGCCACCTAAGGGGCTGAAGCCCCCCAGCAGCAGTGCTCCCAGTTCTTGCTGCTGCCCCAGGGCTGAGGGTTTTGGAGCACTGGCGCCCTACAGAATGGAGAGATTGGAAGGAGTTTTCTAGATCATGAGGTTGGAACTGCTAGCAGAAGATCACAGCATAACTTTCTTCTGGGTTATAGGAAGAAATATGTAAGTAAAAAATATTTTAAAAATATATAAATATGTAAAACTATATGACATATAAATATATTATACATGATATAAAATATTTTTACAGATATTTTATATCATGTAAAATATAAAATATATTATATATATTTATATCATGTAAAATATAAAATATATTTTATATATTTATATATCATTTATACTATAAAAATATATTATATATTTTTAGATCATGTAAAATATAAAATATATATTTTTATATATGTATATATCATATATACTATAAAATATTTTCTATATTTTTATATATTTAAATATTATATAATATAAAATATATTATATATTTTTATATCACATATAATATACAATATACTTTAATATATATTATATATTTTATACTATATAAGGTATATAATATATTAAAATATAGGAAATATACATCAATATGTTACATATAATTATTTCCTATAAATTAATATGTGTATTTATATATTAATATATTTCCTATATTTTAATATTTAATATATGATACATATTATATGTGATATATTAAACTATACATGACATAGATATATTGCATATGATATATATTATATATGATATATGTATATTATATAAAAATATATTTCCTATATTTAATCTACCATGTATGATAGATTTAATATGTAATATATTACATATTACATATGATATTAAATATTTAATATATTAAATATTAAATATTACACATGATAGTTTACATATTACAGATATGTAATATCTGCATGGTAGATAATATGATAGATTAAATATTACATATTACATATGATAGATTACATATTTCAAATTTAATTATTAAATGTTACATATTACATGTTATAGATTAAATGTAGGAAAAACCGAGGAAGAAATATATAAGTAGGGAAACATTGAAGGAGTGAGGAGGTATTTGAGAGCCTTAGGGAAGAAGAATGGAAGGGGAAAACTGAAGAGAAAAAAAGCTAGAATAAAATTAGGCTGTTCTTTGCCCTTTATTCTGTTTTCAGGCCTAAAATAGACTAAATAGACGATCACTGGTTTATCTTTAGCACTGATATCTGATGCAGTGTGACTTTGGGGTATAGAAAGAGGCTTCACAACCCATGGAAATATCTTCCCAAAGCATGAAATTATTTAATGTAGGACAGAGCGTGTCATCAGACAATTAGAGATAAAAACTATAACAAAAATAATGTCTATGGAGAGGTTACGTGTTACAGAGGAGTTATGATCACAAGCTTGGTTGCATGTAAGAATCACCAGGGAGCTTGTAAAGATCTAGGAGCCCAGGCCCCGGAGGCAGAACCAGGCATGAGTAGGTCTTAAATCTCCCCAGGTGATTCCAATGTGTGGCCAAGATTTAGAACCACAAAACAAGGAGACAGGACCCAAGACCAGAAGTCACACCTGGAAAGAGCCGGGGACCATTATTGCCTGGAGACAAAGGAGATGTGAAAGGGATCCCAGCAGAGCAGAAGGCAGAATTCACACCTTGCCTTCTTCCCTGATGCTTCCCGTGGGAGCAGCTGGGCGTTCTCCAGATTCTGTTTCCTCCCAGCTGAGCCTTTACTTAGCAAGCCCACAGAGGGCACAGCCCCAGACGATGAAAGGAGAGAGAACTTCACGGTTTCCTTCCCAGCTCTTCAAATCAACAATTTTGGTCACAGATCAGACTGCTAAGTCTTTACACATCCGAAAGTTAGACTTTGACGTGCTTGTTTTTCTTCCCCTGTCTGACTCACAGAATGAGTCATAAGGAACCTTGTTAATCTCCCCTGGACTCAGGAAAGCAAGGGCACAGGGAGAGGGCTTCCTTTCTTGGCAAGGGTTGGGTTGAGGCTGGATTCAGAGCTGCCTCCATCCTGGCACTGTAAGCTACCTCCATAACTTATTTTTTATTTTTATTTTTTGGAGACAATATCTCATTCTATCACCCAGGCTGGAGCGGGAGTGCAATGGCATGATCTCAGTTCACTGCAACCTCCACCTCTCGGGTTCAAGTGGTCCTCCCACCTCAGTCTCCCAAGTAGCTGAGACTACAGGTGCACGCCACCAAACCCCGGTAATTTTTGCATTTTTTTTTTGTAGAGACGGGGTTTCGTCATGTTACCCAGGCTGGTCTCGAACTCCTGAGCTCAAGGGATACCCCTGCCTTGGCCTCCCAAAGTGCTAGGATTACAGGCGTGAGTCACTGCACCTGGACAACGTAACTTATCCTTAACCCTCTGCCCCCTTCTCTGGCAGAAATGATGGCAGTGGATCTGTGGACACAAGACACCAGGGATCTGTGGCCGGGGGCGTCCACTGATTTCTCTCTGGCATCTCTGTCTCCCAAGGGACCTGACAACACTCAAAACTCTCAGGCTCCGGCAAGCTTTTGGCTGCAGGATCATGCCCGCTGGACCAGTATGATCCAATGAGCTAAGGGTCTTAGCAGCACATAATTCTGGAGCAGGGATGCATCTTGAAGTCTCACAGATAAATGCATCCTCTAGGCTGTCTCCCTAGGCAGAGCAACAGTGCAGCGTCTGGCAGTTATATTTATTTCTGCCCCTTGCATTTAAAGGAGAGAATGTGAAATTTCTGCTTGCCTCTCTTGGCGCAGCTATCAGAGGCTGCTTACGTCCTAATGGCCTCCTCCAGGGACAGGTGAAGAATGGAGTCCAGAGGGGCCAGGTGACAAAGTCAAGGTCTTCAGCACCCCTTGCCATATGCCCAGGCCTGACCAAGGGAAGGAGAAATTCACAAACCATCCACTCATTTTTTCCGTAACCGTGTACTGGACACGAAGACTCAGGATGGCACGTGCTTTTGTTCCAAGGAGCTTAGAGCCTATGGAGGATCAAACCCTGCACGGTGCAGGGCAGAGAGGGCAAAGCTAGGGTTGCCCCCAGTTAATGTGGGCACAGAAGGGAGGGAGTTAACGTAATGATGGGGAAGACTGAGCTCACAGACTGTGAGCCAAATGAAATAGCTTCAGGGAAGGTCAAATAGTTAAAAATGTCAATAATGTTGACCCTCTCAACCCAAAAAGTGGAAAAGCAGGGCAAAACCTAAATGAATGGTCCTGTCACCGTTTAACATTAAAGCTAAAAGTGGGTATCCCCAAGGGGCTGAGACAATTCTAGTGCCTTCTCTCGTGCCCACCCCTCCTGGCACCAGGGTGCCCACCATGGGAAGGCT